GATTTAGCAATTTCTTTTTTTTGGCTACTTACGGCTTCCAATGTTTCTCATGCAAAAGAAAGTGGTAATCATATTTATGCAGACAAAAAAAGAAAGTGCTAGACACACCATCATTTATTGGTGCAGAGAGATACTTATTGATGCCCTCCTTATTCACCTATTTCAGAATGCAAGCAGAAATAGTAAAATGTAACCAACTGATTGACATGTTATCACTTTTTTTGGCTATTTTTTGAGCTACAGATGGTGCTGGAGAGAGATTTTTCCCTCTAAGGACATGGAATTGAACTAGTTCTGCCCAAGCAGCTGGAGGTACAAAACAAGCTCTGGAAAGCTCCACCAAGGGATATAGATTCTTTTCCAGAAGAATTTGATGTTTGACATTTTTCTCTCCATAGGAACATATGATTCTTAGTACTTAAAAAACTTTTCCTGGTCTTAATTATGGTGGCTACCAGTTAGAAAAAATTGTAGTTAAATTAGTCATGTTGTACCTCCAAGCTATTTTGAGCATATTGCAGATTCTTAAATGACTTTTCCGAACAATAATCCGTTGTTCTGGCATGAATGATGTTTTATTCACCGTCATTCTTGTTGCTTAAATGGTCTATCGTGTCTGTGGGGTATATTTGTTCGAATAAAATGCTTAGCTAATTCCATGCATCTAACTAAAAATCCTTTCTTCTTCCAACTTTTCTATCTTCTCATTTATTCCTTATGGGCCCTTCTCCCTCTAATTCTTTCCATTCTAATATTAGATAATCTATAATAATTCGTAAATCTAGATTAGCAAATTATTCTTGGATAATTTTGGTTCTAGTAAAGATCTCCCAATCTTGAAATGTATCAAAGCTTTGAATAGTAAAAAAAAGTGGGATGTTATATTTTTTGGGATTGGATTTCATATTCGAATAAAACTCATAATATTCGAATAAACCTCGAAATTGTAAAAAAATGAGTTTTTTTAGCAACGAGTCTAGCAAAAGAAAATTTGGGATAGGATTTTATGGGAGCTCCCCTCCTCTCCAAATTGGACATGAAAAATTATTTTCATCCGGTGAGAGTCAACGGGGCTTCTGGGGGCAATTCTATAACCGTACACAGCCCAATCAACTTAATGATAATCACACATGAAATTGTACGAGACCACTTTAATTATGAGTTGAAGGATGCGAACATAATGACCCTAAAATATCTTAAGCTCATTATTCTATTAAAAAGAGACTGATCTTTGACCTCTAAGTGAGCCTGACAGACTTTTGCAAGGACTATTAGAGTTTTGACCATTGCAATACATATATTGGAATTTAATTAATATATTATTTCATTTTGGATGATTTTTAAGCTCAACAGTTTCAGTAAGCATGATCAATACTCCAATTAAAATTACATTGACATTGACAATCTTTTTTTGCAGTTGAATCAGTCCAAGCTTGAGTTTGTATTAGATAGTCAGAATCAATGTCTATTTTGTCTACTATTGTTTTTGAGTTCAAATTTATTTCCTGAATTTTATTTTCAAAATCTTAATAGTCAATTTATTATGCATAATTTCTATTATAACAAAAGAAGATTAAAAAAATTTAGGGAATAAATTTAAACAAATTTAGTGGTTTTTTCCATTTGTTTTGAGGAAAAATTGACAAAAAGATTGATTGCTATTCAAAAATTTAATTGTCTCCTCTCTTCAAAATTTTCACTGCACAGTCTTTTCTACGTTCTGTTCTGTATAATGCCCTTTTGGTTTGGGGAGAGAGAGAGAGAGCCTGAATGAATGGCTTTGCANTTGCACAGTCTTTTCTACGTTATGTTCTGTATAATGCCCTTTTGGTTTGGGGAGAGAGAGAGAGAGCCTGAATGAATGGCTTTGCAATCACTACCACCCATATCACCAATTACGATTCCCCTGCTTCCAAAGGACATTATTGCCTCTACTTCTCTTTAATTGTCTTCATCAATTCATATCTCTACAATTTGTACAATAATGGCGGCGTCCTTGGATGAAATTCCCCCAAATGCCCTTCTTCGAAAGCGTGATCGGAACTTGATGGGACTCTTTTGAAAAACCTACGATGAAGACACGTGTCCTCGGGGTTTTAGAACAATGTTGCTCGGGTTCGAGCACCATCAGCAAGGCGTCCTCTCCCCGAGGTACCTCTCATATAGGATCACATATTCGGCACAGTATACAAAGACATGTGTCCTCGGTCACCATGTACCTCGGGGAACACACCACCCCTTGGTCCCCCGAGGTGAGCCTTTCCTCGGCACCGAGGGTCACTCCATCCTGGACGCTTCCTCTACTCCCGGAAAAAGCTACTGACAAAACTGGACATCAGCCTATGCCAGTATGGACTAGTCATCATGAGCTCTTCTTACACAAGTAATGTCAGAACGTGCTGGAATACCGACGTAACAGCCAATAAGGGATGGACGTGTGGCAAATAATGTCACATCCGAAGCAGACAAACCGCATGCCGCTGCTGGCACGCGACTTGGGAAAGCAAACAATTAATTACACCCTTCTGTTGACGAGACCGCATTTAATGCGGTAAGGTTCGGATATGAAAGGCAATAAATGCTCCTATTACAGAGCATTTATTGCATCCTTCCCGAAAGGAGCATATTGTACCGTCGGCGTCCCGACAACTCACCATTGNTAAATGACTTTTCCGAACAATAATCCGTTGTTCTGGCATGAATGATGTTTTATTCACCGTCATTCTTGTTGCTTAAATGGTCTATCGTGTCTGTGGGGTATATTTGTTCGAATAAAATGCTTAGCTAATTCCATGCATCTAACTAAAAATCCTTTCTTCTTCCAACTTTTCTATCTTCTCATTTATTCCTTATGGGCCCTTCTCCCTCTAATTCTTTCCATTCTAATATTAGATAATCTATAATAATTCGTAAATCTAGATTAGCAAATTATTCTTGGATAATTTTGGTTCTAGTAAAGATCTCCCAATCTTGAAATGTATCAAAGCTTTGTATAGTAAAAAAAAGTGGGATGTTATATTTTTTGGGATTAGATTTCATATTCGAATAAAACTCATAATATTCGAATAAACCTCGAAATTGTAAAAAAATGAGTTTTTTTAGCAACGGGTCTAGCAAAAGAAAATTTGGGATAGGATTTTATGGGAGCTCCCCTCCTCTCCAAATTGGACATGAAAAATTATTTTCATCCGGTGAGAGTCAACAGGGCTTCTGGGGGCAATTCTATAACCGTACACAGCCCAATCAACTTAATGATAATCACGCATGAAATTGTACGAGACCACTTTAATTATGAGTTGAAGGATGCGAACATAATGACCCTAAAATATCTTAAGCTCATTATTCTATTAAAAAGAGACTGATCTTTGACCTCTAAGTGAGCCTGACAGACTTTTGCAAGGACTATTAGAGTTTTGACCATTGCAATACATATATTGGAATTTAATTGATATATTATTTCATTTTGGATGATTTTTAAGCTCAACAGTTTCAGTAAGCATGATCAATACTCCAATTAAAATTACATTGACATTGACAATCTTTTTTTGCAGTTGAATCAGTCCAAGCTTGAGTTTGTATTAGATAGTCAGAATCAATGTCTATTTTGTCTACTATTGTTTTTTAGTTCAAATTTATTTCCTGAATTTTATTTTCAAAATCTTAATAGTCAATTTATTATGCATAATTTCTATTATAACAAAGGAAGATTAAAAAAATTTAGGGAATAAATTTAAACAAATTTAGTGGTTTTTTCCATTTGTTTTGAGGAAAAATTGACAAAAAGATTGATTGCTATTCAAAAATTTAATTGTCTCCTCTCTTCAAAATTTTCACTGCACAGTCTTTTCTACGTTCTGTTCTGTATAATGCCCTTTTGGTTTGGGGAGAGAGAGAGAGAGCCTGAATGAATGGCTTTGCAATCACTACCACCCACATCACCAATTACGATTCCTCTGCTTCCAAAGGACATTATTGCCTCTACTTCTCTTTAATTGTCTTCATCAATTCATATCTCTACAATTTGTACAATAATGGCGGCGTCCTTGGATGAAATTCCCCCAAATGCCCTTCTTCGAAAGCGTGATCGGAACTCTAGAGGAGGGTTCAGTCTAGGTGTTGATTTGGGTATGTCCTGCACTGGCCTCACACATAGCAAGGGCTACTCTGTTCGACCGTTGACAATGCGTATATATTTATAACTGCCACAATTACTCTCTCTATTTCTCTCTCTCTCTCTCTCTCTCACACACACAGACGCGTATATATTTATATAGAGATAGGTTTTTTTGTCTATGTAGTGACTATTAAATTAACAAAATAGAAAACTCATGTTCATGTTGAGAACTGCATACTGAAAAAGAAAGTGGTTCTGGGGTTTGAGTGATTTCGTAATTGTAGATGTGAGTTCAGATTGATTTAATCACTCATAATAATTGATTGGCAATGGGTCTTAGTATTTGTTTGCGGTGTTATTCTATTTTAAAGAGACTGATTTTTTGACTCGAACTCTCATCGTATTGACTGAACAAGTGAGCACTTATCCTCGCCTTTGACAGAATTTTACGTTAATCTGAATTATGTGTATGAGTAATGCTACTTGAATTTAATTTGTTGATCTAATCCCTCACAATAATTGATTGACAATGGTCCTAATATTTGTTTAGATCTACTATCAATTTAATAATTGTGATTAATTATGTCAACAAATTAGGTTTCAATAAATAGTATTTAGGATATTTTTCATTATTTTGTAATAGAAAAAATGTTTGACAAAAATAAGTGGTTGTTCCGATTTAAAGAGTTGAAGGGTAAAATAAAAGAAATAAAAAGTATAAAAGGTACATTTAAACTAGTACAAAAATTCAGGGGTATCTATAATATTTACTCAAACTTTTAGATACTGAAACGGTGTCGTCTCGCTGTTAATTATCCTCTCCCTTCGGGTCAGATACAGAAACGCAGAAGCAGCAGAAGTATGTATATGAACTGTTGGTCTGGGGGAGAGAGAGAGTCTCTGAATGAATGGCTTTGCAATCAGTACAGCCCATATCACCAATTTCGCTGACTCTCCTTCCAAAGGGCTCTATTGCTCCTATTTTGCTTCGATTATCTTCATCAATCCGTTGCTATTGTGTTCGTACAACATTGGCTGTGTCATTGGATGAAATTCCCCCAAATGCCCTTCGCCGGAAGTGTGACCGGAACTGGAGAGGAGGGTGCAGTCTAGGGGTAGATCTGTGCATGTCCCGAACTGGCCTTGCACTCAGCAAGGGCTTCTCTGTTCGACCCTTGACGGTGCGTATATGTTTATAACTGCCACAATTACTGTCTCTATCTCTCTCAGACACACATTGCGCCCTCTAATGAGCTGATTGAGTTAGGTTCTGGAGTTGAGAGGGCAAAAGCTTGAGCTTCGACTTATTGACATTGCTGAGAAGCAGGTACAGGACCCTCTCTCTCTCACTCACCTGCACACACAGACATAGATATTGATATAGAGATAGGTTTAATGTCTTAAGTGGCTGTAATGTAAGAGAGATAGAAAACCCATATGGGGTTTGAGTGATTTCGTAATTGTGGGTGTGGGTTCCGATTGATCTGCTGGTGTGGGTCAATTTTTATTTCCTACATTCGTAACGATTGTGAGTTGGTATGTAGTAGGAGGTTGATGAGTTCATAGTAGGACTTCCTAAGTCTTCTGATGAAAAAGAGACGCCGCAGTCCAATAAAGTTCGTTCTGTTGCTGGTAGGCTTGCAGTTCGAGCTGCAGAGAGGTGAATTCTTATGCTAAAGTGGTATTTGTGATTACTTTTGGAGTTTCATCTTTTCGTTCATTAGGGATTGTCAGGCTCAAATGTATAGATATGATTGTGTACTTGCAGTTTTTCAACCTTGTTTGGTATCTGAGTTCCATTTAAAATTTAGGGTTGTGAATTAAGGACCTTTGGCTATTTGAATTCATTTTCTGGATATGCAATGGTACTTTGGGAATTTGAATTCATTTGAGACAGATGTTCTTGAATACAGGATAATTGCTTTTCTGATTTGTCAATTCTGAATTGATTTGCTCAAAATTCAGCTTGTAGAAAAGACATATATAATTCGATTTTCTGAGGGGATGTCATGGACACTAAGAATGGACTGTCTCATATGAAGGTTTTGGAAACATTTGGGTGCAAAAAGGCATATGCTATTGTAAACATTATGCTAAAACTTACACTAACATATAAATGATCAAGGAAGAACAGTATCTAGATCCATGTCTCACGACAAGGGCTTGAGCTTAAGTGGTATGACTTGTACCTCCCTATGGTGTGGACAAGAATTCAAGCCAGTACAGGCATGGTGTGTGTTGTTGCCACCCCCAGACTATTTAATGTGGTGGGGAGAAAACTACAATGGAAAAGGGGGATTTCAATGTGTAACAAGGATAAGAATCAGCAAAAGTAAACTAGCATTTTCTCTGATATCTGGTAAATTTTAATGCTTTGGGCTATGTAATAGGGTAGAACATGAGGTTGTTCATATTGATTTAAAGGTTGTATTATGAGTGGTTTAATTCAATATATGGCAGTTTGTATCGGTATTTGTTATCGGGAAATGCCTTGCCCATTACCCATACATTATTGTATACTTCGGGATGGATGAGAAGTCTGAATCCCAGAGCCCGCTAAGGCAAAGTATGTATCACGTAACTATCCATAAGTTCTGATAAAAAAAAAACTGACCATAAGCCATATAATTCATGGATTTGATTCATTTTGATACATTCAGTTGAATGTGTAAATGTTGGTTGGAGTGAAGAACCACATACATACTATACTATGAAAGTATTATTCATAAAATTGGTAAGACTTCTATGGTTAGAATTGAAATTGTAAATTGCTGCCATCCTCAATTCATCTGTCTTCCTGAAAAATATAATATTGTAGGATCCAGCCTGTTTTTGTCAAATTTAAAACACTTTAATTTGAGTTTCGAAGTCTAGTCTCAACATAGTTTCCTGATGATGTTTACATACTGTCTTCTTTGTACAAGTTAGAATTGGATGAAGTACATTTACATATGTGTAGTTGTGTACTATATACATATGATCAAGTCAACATAGGATTTCTAGGGATGATGACAATTGATCAGCATAAAGCTTGAAGCATGAAATATTGTGAAAGAAATGTTCAAAGCAATTGAAAGCATGGGACTGGTTGATATCATCTGTATATTTTTGTCGTATTGAAAAATGATAAGCAAACTTCTCATTCAGAAAAAGAAAAAATAGTCTGAATTTTTCATGTCGTTTCAGTTGTCCTAGTGGACGGGGAAGAAAGAAATTCCTAAGATTTGTGTGACTCACCTTCGATACAGGGATCAATCACACTTTGTGGAGTGTTGTATATTTATATTTTGGGAAAAGTTCTAGGAGCTATATATCATGCTAAGTTAATTCACTTTTTATTTCTTTGCAAAAGACTCCTCCTATGGAAGCATGACATGACATCTGCTTGACATTCATATTTGTTCTTCCTGTTATTTTCTCTTGCATCTATTGCTAGCTAGACTCTCGGCTCAATTTCTGTTAGATTGACTACTTATATGCATTCCAAAATACAGGGGTTGGAGAGTGTACCTGCAGGATGAGCATGGGACATCAACCGAGGCTATGGACCGTATGATTAATATGTAATAATTTCTCTCTTGCATCTTAATTATTTTGTTGGAATTTTCCTTACAAGGATTAAAGAATCAGCATTGGTTTATATAGATCTGTTTAATGTCACTTTTATGTGAATGAGTTAAATTATGTATCTTTGATGGAGCATTAGAAGGATACATGGCGGTTGAACCAGTGTGTTGCATTTCCCACGAAGTTTGAACACAAAATCCCTCACGGTTGGGTGGGGTGGGGTGGGGTAGCGTGTTGATATTTATCATGCTTACAACTACATAGCAATGAGAGCTTGTCAAATGATATTTTAATCACGATAGACTTTTTCGAATATTTAGAATACGATGGCCCAGTTTGTCTTCCACCTTTTACAAGAATGCACATACGTCATCCCTAGTCTCTGAAGCACCAACAACTTAGAGTAACTTCATTTGGATTCGACAATACTCCACTTGTTTGCTGAGAAGACGGTGAATGAAGTGGAACCTTGACATCCTTATATGTAAAGGGTTAGTTGCAGCATCCCCTACATTTTAGTCTCTTTGTCCCACAGTTGCGAAAATGATAAGAGTGATGACATTAGTGAAAAGAAAATGCCCACTAAAAGCTAAATACTAGAGGGTGGTCTTTGGTGCAGAGGTTAGTTTGCTCCATTGTGACCAGGGGCCTCAACGATTTGAGTCACGGAAATAACCTTTCCGCATGTGGAGTAAGGCTGCATACATTTAACTCTCCCCACACTTTTCAATGGCGGGAGCCTCATGCACTGGGTTGCCTTCTTTTTTCAAATATATCTAAACCATCGAAAATGGCCCGGAGAGCATTTGTAAATATTTGTTTTCAGGCATTGTACACTAGATNCTTCAGTGGCGGGAGCCTCATTCACTGGGTCACCTTCTTTTTTCAAATATATCTAACCCATCGAAAATGGCCAGGAGTGCATTTATAAATTTTTATTTTCAGGCGTTGTACACTTGATTTTATTGTTAATGTTGCTATATTTCTCTTCGTAAGAATTAATGACATTAGTAACTTAGTTTCTATGTGGAAGTATGGCCTTGTGATGTTGAATATGTGATGATTTTAGACAAAGTAGTGCTGATTAGTCTCCAGAAGAGGAACTTATAAATTTTGTTAAAGCAGTCGTCTCAAATCCTTTCAGGGGTCTCAGTAAGTCTGTTTGGCAAGGGAGCATTGATGCCTACGCCGCTATAGTATGCATTGTGTTCTATTTATCAATGTATTTATTTATTTGTTTAGTTTTCAGTTTTTTGCTACTTAAAGGGAAGTGCTAATCTCACTGTTTTTCCCCCCTTTTTGTGCATAGAGACCCCTATAGATCCCCTGCTTAATCACTTGTCACAGAATGCAAGCAGAAGCAGAAATAGGAAAATGTACCCAATAGATTTTGACATGTTATCACTTTTTTTTGCCCATTTTTTGATTACAGATGGTGCTGGAGAGATATTTTTCCCTCTCAGGTCATGGAATTGAACTTGTTCTGCCCAAGCAGTTGGAGCTCCAAATCAAGCTCGGGAAGGGTCCAACTAGGGATGCAGATATTTTTCCAGAAGAATTTGATGTTTGACCTTTTCTCTCAATAGGAAAATATGATTCTTAAAGAATTCTAGTGGTTGGTGGGTCTCATGGTTGCTACTAGTCGGAAAAAGAATTCTAATTCAATTAGAATCATGTACCTCCAAACAATTTTGACCCTGTTGTATTCTTGTTGATTGAGTGGTCTTTTGCATTTTTTGAGGTAAAAATCTGTACAGAACACAGTACCTGCAATGGAGTTTGGGACAGACAAATGACTTGCAGTTTTATCCTGTTTAAAGAGATTAATTCCGGGACTTGAACCTACATCATATTGTTTGAATAGATGAGTATTTACCGTCGCTCTAAATCTGCCGTTTGACTGACTCACAATTCTGTTCGGTCAAAAAAACATCATTTTACACCATGCATCCAAAGACAAGTGCATTGTAACAATTATGGAATCATGGATTAATATAAGTTGATAAACGGCCAAAGAAGAGTTCATAATTAGCAATAAAGTTAGTGATTACTATTAAAATATGATTTGCAAATATTAACAATTTAAACATTTAAAAGTTTCACAAATTTATCTTAAAAAATTGAATTCTCAACTTATAAAAACACGAAAAAAATTAATCAACTTTTTATCTATTTTAATTCAATGGTATAAAATTCATGCCAATTTTTTTTTCCTTTTCCCAAAATATCAATATCCTTACACCGACTCCCAATGCTAAACAACTCGATCAATATTCCCTAACGTCAATCCACACTTACTTCTCTTCATTTTAATTTTAAATTACGCAATTAAAAAAATTAAATTATTATTTAAAATACAAATATTATAAGATTAATTCAATTTTTGATATTGTAGTGTCTTCAATTAAGGGGTTAATAGGCCTATTATTGCAAAAGGTGAAGAGCATGATAGAGATTATATTTCCATAACAATATGGTGTTTATTTTGTCTTTTATCTTCCTGTGATGAGCAGGTACTATACAAAACAACAAGACAACCATCCAGGTCATTTGTTGCCATGTTTTTAGGATGACAACAACTTAAATAAAGCCACATAATTTTGTGTCGCACAAGTCATCAATTCTTCAACTCCATCGAAGAGTAGAAAATACAGTTCTACAAGTCAATCCAACCGGTTTAAGATGTCCGACTTGTTTATGTGTGGGCAGCAAGTAATATGCGCACAAACTCTAGCTCTTCTCCTCACGGCACAAGAAATGCCACTTTATTTATGGCACAACAAATTCAAGCTTTCACTTTCTATCAATGGTGACCAACCTGCAGCAACACGAACCCAAAGCAGAGTTGATAAGCACTGGCAAGGATATTAAAGTGCGTTTGTAAGGAATCACATCTTATTAGAGGTGTGCCTCTCTTCATTTCTTGGCAATTATGGAAGGAAAGATGCAGACGTGTTCGTAGAGGTTTGACTACATTCTTCTTGCATTGTCACTACTAGGACACCGTGACAATTTAGGGCCTAGCCTAGTGCTAAAATAAAATCATGAAAAATTCAAAAGATCAATTCAGAACAATAAACTAAAATAAAATTTTATGTCAACTCAATTTGTTTATATATATATATATATATATATATATATATATATAATTGCATACTTATTTTTTTTAGCTTACTTATCAAACGTTTTGTGTTTATGAAAAAGAATATACATTATAATGACGTAATTTTTTACAATAGATATTTAAATTAGGTGATGTCATTGTCGTTATTTTTTGCTATTATAAAGAGCGTTAGTTATATTTATTGCTTTAACTTTTTAACAGGAATTTAATCCAAAAAAAAAAATTAACAAATAATTTTTTTTTAAAATCTTATTGAGCCTAGAGATCGACCTCCTAAGTCCCTCATTTTTTTTTTAATGCTTAGGACTAAAAAGTACTCAATCGGAGATACCACACTCATATTGTCGGACCAAAAAAAAACTCATATTTGGGTCAGAATAAGTTGGATTTGATTTGCCAAAGGTACCCAAAAAAAATGGGTACCATACCTGTACCTCCAAATGTTATTATTTTAATGGTATTTTTATAATTTTTATATGTTGTTTTATGATAAAAAAATTTATTATTTTTATGGGTGATTTACTATTTTAGTAGGTGATTTACTATTTTATTGGACTGGCATGTGGGTGGTTGGACCTGTTTGCGAGCTTTTTTATATACATCTTTATTTGAAAATAATGAATATTTTTGTAACTTAATATTTGTGTAAATTATATTTTTGAATCAAAAGTAACGTCAAAATGGATAAAAATAAAATAATGAATTACATTTAATAGAATGAATAAATTTCAACTAGGTTGATACTTACTAACTTATCTGTCATTTGTATTACTCTACCATTTAAAACTTATATACTTGATACATGAGAAAGAAAATAATACATTATTTATAATATCTAAATTTTTAAAACTTCAAATTTTGATATTGAGAGATTTATTTTAAAGTTTCAAATTTAATGGTTTAAAAATATAACTTTTTTTTATAGGAATGGTAGATAGGGCTGGGCTTGCAGACGGGCGGGCGGGTTTCGGGTCAGGTAATGGATTTGGGGGCAAACTCAAGCCTTTTTTTTTAAGGATATTGGGTTCGGGCGGGCCAATTATTGGGCTTATCAGACTTCGGGCCTATTTTTGGGCCGAATAATAAGATCTGTGGGTAACCCGGCCAATAGACACCCCTAATATTGTTGAAGAAACCCAGGTCATGTGGGGAGTGTGGAATCGTCCGTTGCAATCTATAAATGGTAAAGAGGGAAGGGTATTTGCGTCTTGCCATAAAATAAAAAACTTTTCCCTCTTTACCATTTATAGATTGCAAAGGAGGATTTCCTAGTTGCATACCGACTCCGCTCAATGCCATATCATTATTTTCCTTTTGTTGGTCTACACAAAGTTACTCTGTACAGAGGAATATTATCCCACTCCATTGTTCATAACACAAAGTTGAAACTTTTTTCAAGTTTCTAAGACCCAAAGTTGAAATTTTGTGTTATGAACACATGGCCTGCCCGACAGTGGAGGAAAAGAATCGGTGGCTTTAGGCCCCACCAATACAGAGGGCCTCAAAATTTTAAAAATTTATAAATATAGCCCGAATCAATTTTAATCCATAAATATTACCTTATAAGGAAAAAGCCCCATACGAAGGTCTAAACCAACAAAAAAGCTCTAAACTGATTTTGAGCCCAAAAATTCAATCTATTAATCCCACACAATAACGTTTTAGAAGAAAAAAAAATATTTTTTATCACTAATTTAATGATCTTATTTGGTGGCATGATAGATCATAGGTGTAAAATTGATAGTGAGTACCAACTAATAATAAGATTCATTGTCAATCTAATGACAAAAAATAATAAAATCGTCAAATAAAATTACTAAATAAGATCCATGTAATTTTACCCTTTTTATTATAATCTTAAAAAATATAATCAAACATATATTACGTGAGTAGTGTCTAATTCATAGAAAAATAATTTTATAAGAGTGTCAATGACGAGACAACATAATCTGTTAAATAATTTTTGAATTTGAAAGTTTTGAAATTTTTTATTTAATTTAAAAATTAAGTCAATTAGTTATACTATCAATAAAAAGAGATATGTTAGAAAACAATATGGATACTAAACAATTAATATGCATCTGGAAAAAAATTAAATATTAAAAAATTTATACTATTATTAAAAAAAAAATTAAAAAAATTAAATTGAATTTATCGCTTTATTAGAACTCAAAACATATCAAACCACCTTCTGGACAATGGAGTGGGCCCAAAAGTAAACAAGGATACTCTCCTTTTAGTTTATATATATATAGATATAAACGTCATTGCTTGCATACTTACTCATAAGCTCTCACAGTGATATCGTTATTTCCTTTATTCTCTCTCTCTCCTCTCCTCTCCTCTCCTCTCCTGGTTCACAGCAGATTTAAGATGGTTGCACGAAGGATAAGTAAAATGAGGAAGTACAGGACTTCCATATACAGGGATGATATTCCTGTGTATGCAATAACCACCACTAGCACTAGGTAGTATCTTCAAGGTTCCACATCATGCATTTGTTTCCAGTCTTGTGCATTTTTTTTGGTTCAGTGTTCATATTTGTATTTGAGTACAGGGTTTGGCATTTTGTTGTTCATTTTCAATTTTTTTTTCATTAAATTCTCCATTTATTTCAATCCATGTTCACTTTGGTTTTGGTTTTTATACCGTCATTTTAGACATTTTTCGAATGGATTTTTTAGTCTCTTTTTAGCCTTATTGAACTGTATAGGATTCACTTGTTCATTTTTCCTATTGTGTGGTGTGTACACTAACCCTGATTGCAGTATTCAAGTGTTGTCTATTGTTGAAAACAAAATTTCAAGTCATGTTTTTTGTTGTTCTTCATTGGAATTACGGATTAAGCTTGATCTTCATTGGAATTTTTAGAAACTCTTATGACGTTTTTTGTTCTTGGGCTGGCTATCATGCCCTATGCTTTTAGAATGCTCCTATTGTTGTCAGTTGGAAACTGATGTATGTCCGGAGCTTAAGTTTTTTGGGCTGAGCATGTTCGTTACTTTCCCTTATATATCTTATGCCCAGGTGGCCAGATCGGTGATTAAGCTTCTAGATGCCTGTCTGTCGTTGGAGGATATTCTTTCTGTTTTTTATATTCGGACTAACTGCAGAATTTTTTAGCATGTTGCTGTGTTTGAAAAGTTCCTTNTTCGCCCTGAACCTATCGATCTGTGCCTCGCCCGTCACCTTGTATTTCCCTGACCCCGAGGGACCAGCCGATGGATTCTCGGGAACAGGGCGACGACGAGGCATCTCTAAAAAGAAAGGGGAGGAAAAGGTGTTCTCTCTTGAAAACCTGAGGAAGTTCCCCGAGGGTTTAAATCAAGAGGTACCGACCGGATGACACCACCGCTCAAATCGGAGAACAAGAAGGCCAGGAAGACGATAAAGAAGAAGGTTGTGAAACTCACCAGAAGACGTCGGAAACGGAGTTTTTCAGGAAA